TGCCTAGACACAGGATTTTGTGTAAAGGGTGAGGGCTGAAAACCCACGGACGCCTTAACTGGCTTCGAACTTCTTGTGTCTGTGCGATTTTTTCCTCCTAGATTTAAGTAAGTCTTCCCCAACAACGAATGGAATTCCATCTTCAGACACAGCCAACGAAGCCATGGACCCCTTCCATGCTTGCAGTATTCTTAAGCAACTCAAAACAATGTACGATGAAGGACAGTTGACAGACATTGTAGTGGAAGTGGATCACGGGAAAACATTTTCCTGCCATAGGAACGTTCTTGCTGCAATCAGCCCCTATTTCAGGTATGACGACGGTAGAAAGTTGTATTACTACCCTTCCCAGTATTGCCCACTTGGTTGTGACACTGAGCTGGGACAAATAAATAAAGGCAAACAATGCGTTTGTTTTCTCAGAGTAGGTTAACAGGCCTTGTCTTATTAATGAGCCCTTGATTTGAACTGTGGGGTTTTAGAATTCAGATAGATGGATTTTAAGTTAGTGAACCTCTGTGATGTGTTCCCCAATATGGAAGACGCCTGCCGCACGTGAACATTATAATGCTTTAAAATTAAAACATTCAGTAACTCAGCTACACTAATACATGTCAAGGGCACAGGCAGCTACATGTGGCTGCTATATTGGGCAGCGTAGATATACAGTGTTTCAATCATTGAAAGTTTTATTAGAGAATAATCAATTATTTTTAAAAATTCATTTTTTAGCATGTATAACATTTTTTTTAGTTTAAAACATAGGAACTTGTTCCTTTACCAGTAAATTAGGACTTAGGAGATTGTTTTAATGCCATGGAGTTTTGTAAAAAGTAGTGGAATAAATGAAATGAAAGTGTGTGTTTATGTCTTCGTTTCCAAGATTCCCAAGAGTATTACTTTTTTCACTTTCTATTTATTTTTATCATAAAATACTGAAAAGTGAACACTGTAAGCGTGGGTCTGAAAACTAAGTTCTTATTCTAAGATCAGGTGAATCTTAGAATCAGGTGATGGGAAAAGGTACTTTCTGTCAGTGCATAAATGTTTTGTTTCAAGTATTGCTTCTAAAAGCCCTTCGGTATTCAGCAGTGGCTCATGAAAGACAGGAAAAGCATCTTGTCAGCCTCACTCCTGCTTTATCTTTTGAGGTGCTTATAGGGCACATCCCACTATAATGTTGGGTTCATTAGTTTCTTGTTCCTCTTTCTCAGGATGCTGAACAAAAGAAGTATGGTTACCATAGGTTTTAGTGTCTAGGAAGTTAAAAAAAAAATGCTTGGAAATATTTCTGAACATACCATTCACATAAAGATGTTGCTAGAAAACTAAAAACCTAAATTCTTTTCTGCACACAAGTTTCTTGGCTCCTGATATGGGAATCTCAGAAATCATACTTAACCGTTAGCCTTGCATCTCAGGTGAAAGAATTAGAACAGCTGGAAATGTGACATGGCTGCTTCCTGATCCAGTGATTTGTCAAAATTAATGATTATGGAAAATGCTCTACTTGGGATTTTGTGGGAGGAAGCACTCCCAATGTATTTAGAGTACATGAAGACCCTTTTAGGGAACTCACCAAGGTGTCAGGCCAGTTCTCTGCATTAGCCTAGTCTGTTGAAGGCAAGAGGGGCTCCCATGAAGATGGGATATGTGAAGTTATTCTTCTACCTAATGAAGGGCTGGACTTAATTGGTAGCTATATAGGTGAATCACTTATCACCTGAACTGAAACCAGCTCAAATATAGAAACATCTGATTTGTAGTTAGTCATCAAAGCCTGTGGTAATATTAAACTTAAAACTTTATTGAAGTGAAAAGATAAGTAATCAGTATACCAAGTTGAGCCCTTGTACACCCTCCAGGTTTCTTATACTCCATTTTAAAATCTCATGTATTGAAAGCTGGAGAGATGACTCAATGGTTAAGAGCACTAATTGCTCTTACAGAGGATCCACATTTAGTTAGCAACACCCATATCAAGGCACTCACCACCACCTGTAGCTTCAGCCCTCTTGTAAACTTTGTAGACATCTGCACTCCCATGTGTACAACCCTGCATATACATACACATAAGCAAAAGAATGAAATCTTAAATGAAGCCCTATCTATTTGATAGAGACAGCAAAGGTGTCTGCCCATTATCCCACTTGGGACACTTTCACAAAATATAAGTTACTTTTATCCCGGATACCATACCGATTTTTTCAACAAATTCTATTAAGCACCCCACATGCTTTTCAAAAAGAATGAAAGCACACACATTGGGCTTTTGGAGGATTTTTTTTTTCCCCCTAGAATGGTTGGTTGTGGAAGTGCACGCCTTTAATTCCAGCACTTGGTGAGTCAGAGAGGATCGCTGAGTTCAAGGCCAGCTTAGTCTACAAAGTGAGTTCCAGAACAACCAGGGCTATGTAAAAAGAACCTTGTCTCAACAACAACAACAGAATGAAACCTTACAGAAAAGAAATGATGTTTACAAATGAGTCACACTTAGAAGTACAAGTATTTTTTTATCTGCTTACTGTTTTGGAAAAGAATGTTTCATAAATACACTCAGTTAAAAAAAAAACAAAAACTAGACTATGTGTTAAATATTAAATTCTATTTAGAAAAAGGCACTCTGTTAACCCTATCATAATTTTTTGTATGGCTATAAATAGGTAAAATACAGGAACTTTAAAATGAAATGTATTTATTTTAAGGAATAGTTTTCAAAGTGTCCAAGAATAAGTAAAGTAGTCTTTAAAAAGATTCCAGTTTTAAAAGTCATAGGTGAAACACAAGTACTTTTGAAGAATGCTGTTCTCTTCCTGAGATGAAAATTTGCTTTGTGCATACAAGTTCCTTGTAATTTTCACTGGACCATCAATTATTTTATTTGGCTTATTGTGCTTAGGGCTAATTTTGCTATCCTGATGATATCTTGAACTTTTTCTGGGACATGACAGTTTTTAAGGTTCATTATCTGTAAGGCAATTTGACTAGAAAGAAGCTTGATATGTGCTCCAAGGACAATCAGATCTGAAATATGTCACTATGGTTTGCTTTCTTACCAATATTCTCCTTTTTCCATACTTAGCATGTAAGACCAGAATCCTGCCCCTCTCCCTTTCCCAGGTCTTATGTGGACTCTGGTGAGACTGAGAAACCCAGTTAGCCCAAGATCTGATTAAAAAGAGATGCCCATAAGAGTCTTATTAATTTTATGTGCACAGAGGGATTTTTACAAGAAAGTGAAGTCCACACAAATAATTGAAGCATGATGCATATATATCTGTTAGACAAAGAACAGTACATTTGTCAAGGAATGTCAGGGTAAGAGGCTATCTGGATTAGGGCAGTCAATTCTGGGAATGTTATTTAGGGATATATGGGAGTGAGGGAGTTGTAAAAGCACTTGAAAAATGAGTGACTTCGGAGTTTATTTCGTTGGGGCTCACTCCAGCCACAATTCCCCTATTACTCTGGTGATGGTGACTATTGTTCAGCCGTGGTCTGTGAAGGACCACCATCCTGAAAGAATCTCCATGGCTTGCTACATAGAGACAGGAGGCCACATGGCCCTTCCATTAGCTTTAGTTCCCCATGTGATTTCAGCTTGAAGCAATCTACCAGTGCACCATATTTTTAGATTGTATGTTTTTAATTCCTTTGGCACAAGATGGAATGGTCCTGAGAACAGAACTTTTGGGATTAACTAGATTTAAGTCCTTTTTGCTAGTTCATCCCTGTTCAGAAGAACATGAGGAATGTATTCATTTTGCTTTTAGAAGGGTTTATCTGTGTGATAACTTTATACTTCTAAAAACTTGTCATTTGTGGTACATATAAAATATTGACTGCTTTTTCTGTCTTAGATCCATGTTCACTAGTGGCCTTACAGAAAGTACTCAGAAAGAAGTTCGAATCATCGGTGTTGAAGCTGAATCAATGGATTTAGTATTGAATTATGCCTATACCTCTAGAGTTATTCTGACAGAGGCCAATGTTCAAGCCTTGTTCACTACAGCTAGCATCTTCCAAATTCCTTCCATACAAGACCAGTGTGCTAAGTATATGATTAGTCATTTGGATCCACAAAATTCTATTGGGGTCTTTATCTTTGCTGATCATTATGGTCATCAGGAACTCGGAGATCGATCAAAAGAATATATCCGTAAAAAGTTTCTGTGTGTCACCAAAGAACAAGAGTTTCTCCAGCTGACGAAAGACCAACTCATAAGCATACTAGATAGTGATGATTTAAACGTAGACCGGGAAGAACATGTTTATGAAAGCATTATAAGGTGGTTTGAACATGAACAGAATGAAAGAGAAGTACACCTTCCGGAAATTTTTGCCAAATGTATACGTTTTCCTTTGATGGAAGATACATTTATCGAGAAAATTCCACCTCAGTTTGCACAGGCCATAGCCAAAAGCTATGGGGAAAAGGGACTATCAAACACCAATGGCTGTACGCAGAGGCTTGGAATGACTGCTTCTGAAATGATCATATGTTTTGATGCTGCACACAAACACTCAGGAAAGAAGCAAACAGTGCCTTGTCTAGA